CCGGGAATGGCCGGGAATGTCTGGGAATGGCCGGGAGTGTCTGGGAATGGCGGGGAATGGCACTGTCTGCACGGAGCGGGGCTGCTGTGAGCAGGTGTGAGACACGTTTGTGGCGCCAATGAACAGGCCCAAACGGATCCTTCAGCCAAGCCCAGTTTATTTACACTCTTGCAAGAACGGGTGACCTAAACAAACAGGCACACCCATAGTAAGGTGAATGACTGTTTATATTGCCTATTCCCAATGCAAAGTTCCCTCCCTTGTCTCCCCACTGGCTGGGTACTCCAGGGTTTACACCTCTCCAAGGCTTCTAATTATCCTATAAGTTTCCCACTTCTGTTTACACATTCCATTCTAGCAGTTTACTTTTTAAGGTATAATTCTGACCTTTCTTGCCCCCTTGGCTGTCTTCCCAATCACCAAAATGATCTATACCTACTGGTGTCATCCTGCTCTGAGAAGCAAGATAGAAGTGGCTTTGTTGGGCCTTCTGCTGGCCAGAAATCCTGCTCCGCGTTCAGATCCCCCAGATGGAGCCCAATTAAGTCCCTCAGTTTCTTGGACCATAAACCACTCCAGGTGTCATTAGAATGTGCAGATATCTCACTTCTCTCTTAAACACACTATTATATTCCTAACACTAGGGTATATATAAACAAAACCTCCAACAATATGCTTCTAGCACTAAGATACATAAACAACACTATATTTCATTTCTAACAGGGGCACGGGGCAGCTGGGACCCCCAGCTGGCTCTTCCCAGGGCAGGAGGCACATGGGGGCTTTGTTGGTGTTCAAATCAATCTCCTTTAAAAAAAACCTAAACAAACTGTCACAGTTTGACTCAGGTCCGACAACAATGCTCTCGATCCCCCCTCCCCCCAACCCAGGTAGGGAAGGAGAGAGAGAAAAAGAGAGAGACTTGGCTGGATTGAAAACTAAACTACACAGCTTTAATTAAAACACTAATGAATGATACAAGAAAATATATACAATTATATACAGATATATATTCAGGTATGGGCAAAAGCCTCTCGCCTCCCCCCACCCCAGCAACTCCCACAGCACTTCCCTGAACTGGGAAGAGTCCCGAGGAATCCCGGAGCTGCTGCTGGAGAAAGCAGAGAGTTATGGGGGTCAGGAGATCTCGAG